TGCCCACAATCTGTCCTGCGCGTGCCTGTTTCCTGCCTGTCGCCCTGTGGCCTGGAAGCACCCTGAGGGCGGGGACCACGTCTGTCCTTAACCGTGAACTCCTGGCGCCCGGCAGGCGTCCCGTCCGCACTGGCCGGTGGTGCTTTTGAAATTGTTCGCCTCCGGTCCCACGGGGGACACTCGGGCCGCGACGCGCCCCGGGTTGGCCAATTCCGGCTGCGACGGTTTCAGCGAAGCCATGAGGGCAGAAGTGAGGCTGCCGCGGGCTGGGGGAGGAAGTGGGGCCTCGCCGGCTCCGGAGCCTCCGCCTTGCTGCCACCTCTTCTAGAAGGCTCTTCCCCACACGCCAGCATGGCCTGGTCCCTCCTTCCCTTCAGGCCTCTGCAGAAGCGTCACCCCCTTCCCAGCAGGTCCCAGGGCCGGCTGTGGCTTTATTTTTCTTCCTGGCCCGTATCACTATGTGACGTCACAATATTCTGCTGGGCGTTTTTTTCCTTTTGGTCTCCCCCCGAGGACAGGGGCCATGTCTGTGCGACTCACTGTTACCCCTGGGACACTGACAAGCTTAGTTCCGTTTGCTGAATGAGCGAACGAACCAGAGGGTTAATGAAATGCGGTAAGAATCCCCGCGGCCCTCAGCACCTGCACTTTCATCCCGAGTTTGTTTAAGCTGCCACCCCGGGAAGTAAGCTGGGCATGAGGGTTCTTCCTGTCAGGAGCCCGTGTGGCTCAGGGGGCATTTTTCAAGGTCACAGGCTCTCCAGGGAGCTGGAGCGCCAGCTCATTCCCCAAGTCCAAGGTCAGCTGCCGGCCAGGGCACTCTAAAGGGACCAATTCTCCCAGGTAGCCTTCCCTAGCCTTCCCAGTTGGGAGTTAATCCCTGGGCCTCGGTTTTCTCATCTGCGAAATGGGTATGCGAGAAGCAGGTGAGCCTTGATGACAATAATAATAAAAGTAATTAGTGTGGCTCATCATATGCCAGGCCCCATCCAAAGCACTCTACCTGCCTTATCATTCCTGTGATC